TCACTTATTTCCTGTTCAACCATGTGATGCAATCTGCAGTCTGTTTTTATTCCACCATGCCATCACTGTAATTATTACAGTGCTACTTTTGCAATGAAATGTGATTGTTTTGCTACTGGGAGGCAGCAGATCCCCCACTCCCAGGATTTGTAAACACATGAAGCTCTCCTACACTAAATTAGACCGTTGGTCCCCCACAATCAGTACTGTCTGCTCAAACACTGCTGTATCTGTCGATTTCACCATTCATGGGGTTCCTGGGAACGGATGAGGGTCTACTGTAACAGTCCCACAGGACCTGGTGTGTTGTTGTTTTTTCACCCTTTAAGGGGCAACAACAGATGGCAGGGGGTCTGCATGATGTAAGGGAAGGTTAAACCTTATCCTTGCTGCACTGTGGCTTTAATACAAACCGGAGCCCCAAACAGGTAGCATTCATTTAAAAACAAACCCTGGGGAGATATGATCCTGGACTTGCAGTGTCTCATCTGGTTTAGCTCTAAAGAGTACAAATATTCTGGTGTGCCCAACCAACACTATTCTAATTCAAATATGATGTTCCATAATTGTGCTACAAATGTGCTCTTATATACACCACAGTATTTATTTATTTGCATTATTACTGCAATAATTTGTCATATTTATTTCTCTTTGGAGTATGAGTGTTGCTCACTGGTGCATACATACATAATGCACACACTTTTCACACGCTTTCATTGTATTATCTTTTTTGATTCTTCAAAAAAAAGACCCCACTGAAATGGTGCAACAGTACATGCATACCACGTATGAAGTGGCAACTCACAAGGGCCCTTCAGATAGTTTTTCAGCTCTAGGAGAGTCACATAACCGTGAGCAGTTCATGTGTACAATAGAAAGCCTTTAATATAACCCTATCACATGGACGTAATATGATTCCATGGATATATGCTGGAGACTCCCCCCCCCATCACATGTATGCTGCTCCCACACAGGTGGCACCACAAAATAAGATCAAGTCACAAAAGCCCAGCAATCTGGTAACCTACCATGCAATTCAATGCATATCTATTCAGAAGTACACCCCACTATATTCAGTGGGGCTTACTTATACATAACTGTACCTAAGATTACAGCCTCAGATTCTGAACTGCACCCAGTTTTTCACTTAAAGTCAATGTGCAAAACTTTCAAAAATAAACATTACCAAGTCCTTATTCTTTCTCCAAACTATTTTACTGAAGAGTTATTCCATTAAACTGGAATTACTCACAAAGAAGTTCCCCCCCCCCAAATTAATACTTTGGCTCTATACAGAGAACTGAATATCTGCACATGTTACACAACACATGAAAAAAAACTGGGGCAAGCCACAAAGCAGATCTGTGGTTTAGCTGTGACTTTCCCAAATGTGTGCACGTAGGCAAGAAACTCATATGCAGCCACACACAAGTTTTCTACTGATTACTGCACATACAATTACGGTAAAAATATTACATTACAACAGGCAATAAACACAGAGCTTGAAAATTGTACACAGAGGGTGAGATGTCTAGCCAACAAAATAGTTCTAAGTGACATCCTTATTGAAAAATATGAAAAATTAACCTTTCCCACATTTCACTTCAAAAGGATCTGGATCATGTGTGTCACACACAAAATCTCCAACTCCTCCTTAAGTCAAAGACAGGCTGCTTCCACGTGGAGGTTTTTCTTTGCTTAGCTTCCAAATCTGAGCACCTGGGGGGAGCACTCATACAATGCTGTGCTCTAAGCACCCTTTCTCCATCCTCAACAGGCTTATTATTCCCAAACCAGCTCTGTTCCAACTTTTGTTGAAAGAGTGCAATCCAAAACCACTATCATGCCATCTAGATGGAAAGCTGCACATTTTCCTGCCCTGCAAAGACCACATCCACATGAACAGTATTGTCCTGCTGCCAGCTCCCTGTGCTAGCCATATTCCCCACTGTGCCTCTGGATAACTTTTTATTTGATTTTTTAAAAGACTTCTAGTGGCCCTCTGGTGATGCAGTGGGGGCTGATGGAGGAAAATGTACCCTGTGTGACAGCTTCACTGTCAATGTGCATGCCTCTGCACTTGGCAGCAACAATGAAAGCAACAGGCAGAATCTGCAACAGGCATTTTTGCAACTACAGTATCTTCCTGACATGGTGAGAATGATGACTGGAAATGCCAGAATTATACCCAGGGACAGCTTGCTACAAGACAAGCCCAAAGAAAATGACAACAGAACACCACTGGTGGTCACCTACAGCTCACAACTCAAGCCAGTCCAATGCATTATTAATAACCTACAACCCATGCTGGATAGTGACACCATTCTCACACAGGCATGGGGGGACCAACTTTTTCTTGCTTACAGACAGCCTGATAACCTCAAACTACTTCTCACCCACAATGATAAACTATTTAACAGTCACATGAACTCTGGTACCAAGGCCTGCAACAAACCAAGATGCCAACTTTGCTCTTATATAGATCCTAGCAACACTATCACTGGACCTAGCAACATCAGCCATACCATCTCAGGTTCCTACTCCTGCTCATTCTCTAATGTGATTTATTGCCATCACGTGTCAGCAGTGCCCTTCCACCCTCTACATTGGACAATCAGGCCAGTCCCTTCAACAAAGAATTAATGGACGTCTGAAATCAGAAACACAACTATCAGAAACCTGAGGGGGGACATTTTTACCTTCCAGGACATTCAGTCGCTGACCTAAAAGTAGCAGTTATCTTACAAAGGAATTTCAAAGGGAGATTAGAGACTGCTGAATTGCAACTGATAATGAAACTCAAGACAATGCATCAACCTAGACTGAATCAAGACCAATGTTCCCTCTAAGCTGTGGAGTCCTGTGAGCAAAAATTCTACTTTGTGAGCTCCTGGCATTAAAGTTGTGAGCGAGCAATTTGGCTACTGCATAAATTAGTTTGCTCTGGAGCCATCCTTCTTGAGCTAAGACAAAAAGGTGTGAGCCGGAGTCTAAAAAACTGTGAGCTAGCTCACGCTAACTCAGCTTAGAGGGAACAGTGATCAAGACCTAGGTTTCCTGTCTCATTACCAATGCTGATTTCTCCATGCCTACGACCTCTCTGCATATCACACCTAATCCAATCAAGCCTGCTGTTGTCATTTGCCTGCTAATGTCATTTGGCATCTGAAATCACTCCACTTTCCAATATATAGGACAGATGGACTCACATTCTAGCTGTATCTGAAGAAGTGAGCAGTGACTCATGAAAGCTCATTACCACAAATTGTATTAGTCTTTAAGGTGCTACTGGACTCTTACTCTTTTCTACTGCTACAGAAAGACTGACATGGCTACCCATCTTGATCTATCTTCATGCAAGATCCTGTATGTGTGGTGACAGCCAGACTCAAGGGGAATTTGCCCTAGAATTTCACTTAAACTTCTTTGTAATAAGGGACAGACAAATTAAGGGGCTGATCCTGATATATAAGATTCCTCCATAAGAGTACTTTTTAAAGTCCCCTTTTAGGATTTCAATGTTCTATGGCACTTTAAAAGCCATATAGACTATTCAAGAAAGTTGTGACCAAGAGCGAGCAGGAATTTGGCAAGACTCACTTGAGGCTGGTAGTCCAAGAGCCCACTTAAATGAAGACAAGCAGTTTTCTGGGAACATTAAGGAGCTCTTAAGCCCTTCCTTATGAAATGTCCTATTAAATCACACCCAACTAAGTAACTTCCACATCAGTAAAGGAATATGAGCATTGCATTTGAATACCCCTATGGAGGAAAATCCTGCTGCAGTAACTGAGGAGGGGAGACACAACCCCTCTCTTTCACCTCTCTGCTTCCAGTCATGGCCAGATGAAACAGCTCTTCCTCACTTAAAAGGACCCTTAAGCTACCATTACACATTTCCATGCATGGAATTTGGGCCTCAATGATAATTCCATTAGTTTTTCAGATGTATGTAGTATTGTACATGCAAAATCTATTCTTACTGGGTAAACAATTTCTTTAGATTTTGTCCTGAATATCAGAAGCTCCCTAAAGCTCTTCCCACAAGTAACATTTTTAGTTTTGCTTATTTCTTTATATCTATGGTTTAGCTACAAGTGATAATGGAGTTCCCATATCAGAGTCAGGGGTCGTTTCGTAGAAAAAGACCTAGGGGAACTCATTAGCATAACTCATTAGCATATGCCACACCCCCTGACATCACCAGAAGTGTGTCATAAGGCCACACACCCCGCCCCCAATGGTCCCGGCCGCCGCTGCCGGCCTTGCAGCTCCACTGCCGAGCCCCATGAGGGGCCCGGCGGTGGACCTGCAAGGCCAGCGGGAGTGCAAGGAAGCCCCACAAAGGCCCTCCCTGGCCCCAGGCAGGCAGGGAGGAAGCAACTTACCCTCCCTCTTCTCCTGCCTCCTCCTGGCTGAATGAGGGCCAGAAGCGGGGCGGCCGGAAGCAGGGGGCGGGGCTTCATCATGTGCCCCGCCCCCTGTACCTCACCCAGGGGAACTGCGATCCCCCGCGAAATGACCTCTGATTAGAGTGCTGATCTGTGTAATTCGGCACTGAAAACAGCTGCAAGGTGAGGCTATGGAGGCAAGGTGAACACTATGGAAGGGTGTTCAGATCTTTCCCCAGTACAATTTCCCCCAGTTAAAAATTGTTAACCAACTACTTTAAGCCATTGTACAGGGAAATGACAGGCAAAACTTGGCTACCAGCCTTTCCCGCCCTACTGGGACTGAAAGCAGACCAAGATAAATTGCAGGGCTGGGGCTGACCCCATTCCCTACAGCCATGACACCATGAAAGCTTTTTAGGGCCAGATTACATGTTGTGACTTCCAGTTATAAAGCCCCATAATTATGTGCAGGTTAGCTCTGAAAACATATCCCGAATGTAAAATGTGCCTTCTTCACATTCTATTCTCTATTGACAAGTGCACTTTAGTTCCCAAGAAGGCCCCCTCGTGAAACTGTCCCAACAGCTTCTTGCAAGAGCCACTCACAGAGAAGATTGCGTTTTGGAGGCCGAAGGGTATAGGGGTGAGCCTCGCCAAGGCCACCACCTTGAGGCCACTTCCTCCCTCCACCACACGGATGACGGCGCTGAGCTTCTCACTGCCCTGGATCCTGGCTTGTACCCATCGGGCCAGCAGCTTCTTGCAGACCACGTGAGAGATGAAAGTGCCAATGAGGACCCCCAGCACCATGAGGCCCATGCCCAGCACGAAGCCATAGAGGTAGCCCGCGGCCACATTGAGCAGGATGTAGCCCCAGCCGCAAGGGAAGGAGACGACGATGAAGCCCACGGTGAAGAGCAGCACGCCGGCCAGGCTGTCCAAGCTCTCGGCCCAGAGCATCAGGTCGCGCAGGTACTGGCGCACGAGGGCGAGCGAGGCGAAGCAGAGAGCCGCCAAGAAGCACACGCTCAGGCAGCTCTTGCACCAGCAGGTGCCCAGCAGGCAGCACGACCAGCGCCACGTCCTGCCTTCGGCCGAGCCGCCGGGCCCCCCCTCCGGCAACTGGCACAGCAGGACCTCCGCCGGCTGCTCCTGGGAAGGATGAGCATAATGGTGGTGTTGGTGCAGCCCGTTCTGCTCCCCGAAACACAGCCCTTCCGCCGCCGCCGCTCCTCCTCCCCTGCCCGCCGCCTCGCTCACCTCCCCGGCAGCGCCCAGCCGAGGCAGCCAGCGGCTCAGGTCCTGCCGGCCTCCCGGGCCAACGGCGTACTTGGTCGCCCGGGAGAGGAGCTGCACCACGGCGGCCCCAGAGCTCCACATCGCCCGCGGCTCTAAGGCGACGAGGACAACAAGAGCAGGAGGAGGAGGAGGCGCCGCCGGCGGGCGGAGGTCGACAGAGGGCTGCGCCTTCCCCGCTTCCCGGGCGGCCGCTCGCTCATCGCCGGCACCGCCGCTCCCGCTGCGGCTGAGGAGGACGACGACGACCGAAAAAGAGCCGCCGGCCGGCCGGAAAGCTGATCCGAGGCAGGGCGGGGGCGCCCAAGTGTCCCGCACCAACCGCAGACCCGATTCCCCGGCAGATATTTCCGTCTCCTTGGCGACTAAACAGCTGCAGCGGAGGCAAAGGACTGGCGGGCTCCGCGGCTGCGGCCTGGGCGAAAGGGGCGCCCCGCCGGAGAGCGGCAGCAGCAGCGGCTGCAGCAGCAGCGGCGCTCCATTTCCCGACACCCTTGCAAAGGCCCCGTCGTCGGCTCGGCCGCAGGAAAGAGCGCCCCGAGTCTGGACCGAAAGCTCCGGGGACGGATGGACGAGCTTGAGGCGGCCCCTCGCCCGAGGAGGAGGAGGCGGCGGAGGACGAGGACGCCGCCGCCGATGTGGCAGGAGGACCCGGCAGCGACCGAAAGGCGGTGAGAGGAGGCGAAGGGGCGGAGCGAGTAAGCAAGAGCGGGAGCCGCGGAGGATGGTCGCCGCCGCCGCGCCTCGCCTAAAGGAGCGAGTGGAAATGGGCGAGGCGCGTGGACTCAAACGCTCGCTGACGGCGTGGCTCTCCACCCTTCTCGCGAGTCCCGCCAGTCACGAAACATCATAAACAACACGTTTGCTGACGCCGCGGAGCAGCCGCCTCACGAATGCCCCTCACTCACACCTACTTTTCTAACGATCTCAGGCTCACACACCCTCCCTCGCATCCGCCACACGCAGTACTTCCCCTCTCCTCTCACACGGAGTATTCCTTTCACAAATCTACACACGTGCACTCACAGTCACCAGGTCATACACACAAAATCTGGGATGCTTGCTTCACACATGCTGACCTATGTGAGTTTAACTACTGTGGACACACATCCGGCACAGAGTTAACCCCAACAGCTGGGTAATTGTTCCTATGCAAGCAGATAAATGTGCCGGTACTGGAACATGCTGTGCTTTTACTGTGTGTGTAAGTTTTATAGGTGTTAAAAATACAATATGTGAATTGTGAGGAATAGTTCAGGTGTGAGATCTACCTCCCAGCCGCGGAAATCTAGTTAACCTCTATGTAAAGACTGCTAAAAATTTAATACAAATGAAACTCGGCCATTTACATAGGGATTATGATTTACTGGAGGTGGCTTAGAATTTTCTAATATTTTCCATTGGTGTACTGACATTGCAGGATACTGTAATTATAACTTTTTTGGCCTATGTGCTACTAAGGGCCAACCACAGCTCCCCTGGTATATACATGTAACTAAACTGGGAGGGATATGGCCGTCACATCACATGTGAGTATATGTAGTGTGCATAGCCATGTAAGTGCCATCGTACACATTGTGTATGAAAGATGTGATTCTTTGCAGACCTGTTAGACTACCTAGGATTGGGCTGGAAACAGAAACTGATTGTAAGTTCAGAATACTGTAGAGGAGACGACAATTATCTGAGCTATCAGGACAGTAGTTCTATTAAAAACAAAACCTACCTTCATACTAGGCCGTGCCTTTGTTGTACATTATAATTAGACAATTACTGTAGGCCTTACTAGTAAGTTGGCTGGATCTGAAATGTAATTGGCAATGATAGGTTAGATTGTACAGGATTTACCTGCAGCAAAGATAGTCTTGGAAACTGAACTGGTTAACTGAAGTTTTCCTCCCTTGTTTTTTTTTTCTTTTTCCCATTACAAGTCTTCAGTGTTTGAGGACTATCTCTGGCCTATATGCTATAGGCTGTTCTATTTTTTCCACTCAAATGCAATAACGTATAGGGGAAGAAATTGAGAGCATTTAGCAGATCCTGCCAACAGTGTATCTGTCAGCAGTACTAAATGGCTCACAATGGAGTCCGCATGATGCTGCCTACAGAAGTGGTGAATCAAATTCAAAATTGATTCATAAGGGGAAAGTGTAGGAGTGCTACCTTAATCATGCTCACTTGGAAGGAAGTCCCACTGCAACTAAAAAGACTTACTTCCAAGTAAACATGCTTAGCATTTAACTAATGTATCATTAATTGAATATTGAAGTAACTAGAACATAGCAGGCCAGCTGAAGCCATTTTGCTGCTCTAAGTGGTCCCACTCCAAGTCATTATGTGTGGGCAGGAAATTGTGCTTCCTTCTCAAACCGCCCTCCCCCCCATACAGGTCCTTCCTCTCTTCCATAAATGGCTTGAGCAAAGTAAAGGAGCTCCAACTGGAAAATCATGGGGAAGGAATGGAAGAAAGCACCCATTCTTTAGGGCAACAGTGCCTGGGACTGGGGAACTGTATTCCCATCATTGGGGCATTATCTTAAGCTTCTTGAATTTAAGCACACCAAGCTGTAAGCTATTGGTCTCAGTAGTCCCAGGGATAATATATGCAGGGCTTTAAAAAAAAATCTGATCTACTTAAACTCAAGCAAAAAGCATGTAAGAATGAGTGAGTCTACCCATAGTTTTCTTCTGACTAAAAAGCCATCAGAAATAGCATAGGAGGCAGAATAATTGAGAAGGCAAAAGTAAGATATTTATTGATTTATTTACAAATTTGTATCCTGTCTTTCTGCCCTTATGAAGGCCACCAAGACGGCTAATAATTTAAAACTCACATTAAAAAAAAATCACATTTAAAAACCATTAAAATCAACCTCCCCCAAGTCACATTATTAAAACAATTAAAAACAGTTAAAATGCATATAAAACATTAAAAGGAGCAATTAAAACATTGATTCGAAAGGAGGGACCATTGGGGGAATGCCAAATGAAACAAAAAGGTCTTCACCTGCTGGTGGATGCCAGCAACAGAAGGGAACAGATGACTGTCCCTGGAGAGAGAGTTCCAGAGCTTTGGCGCCATGACTGAGAAGGCTTGAGAAGATAGCTTGCCAAAAGACCAACCAAATAAAATTATGCCAGGATATTTGAAACAAACTTGAATCAAAAGCAAGGCAGTCCCTCAACTCCTATATGGTGCAGACGTTTGGGGTTGGAAAGACTGTCTAATCACAACATTGGAATCTATCCAAAATCTTTTCTGAGAATCTTAGCTCTACCTAAAGGCATTCGTGCAGCTTTGATGCAAGCAGAATTCAGTTTGCCTTCAGTTAGGGCTCGTGTACATTTAGCCGTGATAAGATTTTGGAGGAAGCAAACCAATGACTCCACCAATTTATTTTGTAAGCAATACTATGAAACAATGGTGCTGCCCAGTTAAAGGTAAAGGTTTCCCTTGCTCAAAAGCTAGTCGAGCCCAACTCTAGAGGGCATTTCCAAGCCGAAGAGCCAGCGCTGTGTTCCCAAGCTATTTCCAAGCCGAAGAGCCAGCGCTGTCCAAAGATGTTTCCATGGCCAGTTATAACAACACCCTGCATTATTACTCCATATCTGACGATACCCAGGGTATAGTTGGTTTCAACATCTGGGACTGGGTGTTTCACTGTGATGCTGCAACACATGGGCAGTCAATCTCCCATTCCAAATTCTCCCAGTGGTTCAAATTGTTCAAAAGCGACTGTTAGAGCTTCCTACTTGGTTAATATCCCTTCTCACAACCTCAGAATAGCCTTTGCCTCAATTCCATTTCAAACCATGCCAAGGACTCCGTTAGCTGGATGTTACTCCAATACTGCAGGTGCTTCATCGTTGCATTTCCAGAGTCCGAGTTCCAGAAGATCTATCATACTATATACTATCCTGTCCTCTCTATGCAGAGCCTGGAACCAAATTCTTTACAGAGCTTTTAATGAGTTTAAACTTTTGTTCAGATTCAGAGAAATTGTTTTTTCTTCTTCTCTCAGACACTGATCCATTTGTCTCTTAAAGATTTTCATGTTTTGCTTTAGTAGCTAAGAAATATGAACTAGAGCTGTATCTAGAGAGAGTAATGTTTTTATTTGATCAGTACCTTTTGGTTAGATCATTTTAATGCTGATTTTGTAATAGTGTGTGTGCGTGTATCGGATTGTTTCATGTGTTCAGATTGTAATGGCCTTTGGCCATAGACAATAAACTTTACCTGTATCTGTTTGATTACTGAATTATAGCAACTTGGATGAAATAGTTAGAAAATATTTTTTATTGTCAGTAAAGAGATAAGAGGTAGCCAGAAGACATTATGATAAACATGCATGAACACATTGTATGTGTTTCAAGTTATATCCAAGTTAACCTAGGGCACTTTACATCACTTCGTGTAACCCGCCTTCAAAGAAATTGCTATCACATCTCCTACCTAACTCCTATGGTTGCCAGAATTGGGTTGGGAAATACCTGTTAGGGGTGGGGTTTGGGGTAGAAAGAGACTTCAGTGGGGTATAATGCCATAGAGTCCACCTTCCAAAGTGGCCATTTTCTCCAGGTGAACTGCTCTCTACCGCCTGGAGATCAGTTGTAACCCCACAGGATCTCCTGCTACCTACCACCCTGAGGTTGGCAACTCTACTAATTCCTTAGGATACTTTTAAAAAATGAAGAAACATTTTCAGCATACTTGAAATCTCAAATTAGAATAAAAAGGAACATAATAATTTATATGCCCAGCATTAAAAAAATCTCTCATTCAATTTACCACCCCGCCCTTCACTACCCGAAGGAGTCTCAGAGCAGTTTACAATCCCTTTCCCTTCCCCTCCCCACAACAGACACTCTGTGAGGTAGGTGGGGCTGAGAGAGCTCCCTTGAGAACTGCCCTTGAGAGAACAGCTCTGAAAGAACCTATGGCTGACCGAAGGTCACACCAGCAGCGGCATGTGGAGGAGTGGGGAATCAAACCTGGTCCTCCCAGATTAGAGTCCTCGTTCTTAACCACTACACCAAACTGACTCTCTAGGTAAAAATAGTGTATATATCTGATGTGAAAAGTAATTGTTT